CAGTTCCAAAATAAAAATGTCGCATATGGAGAAGGTAATATGGAGTGCACCTGAGCATCAAAAGAAATAAGTGTAATGAATGCAAAAGGTCGACAATAAAGGGAACAGCCGATTGTCACTCACCCCGTTTTCTTATGGAAGCATGGACTTAAAAAATATTCAAGCTTATCGAAAAGTCCTGAACTAGAGAGAGAAAATAATTCTTCATTTGATTCGTCTGACTCGTGACTTGACCAACAGCGAATAAAATTATCTGTTGAGCCCAGCCAACACTCTAATGGTATAGTGACATTACCAAGAGAACGTCGACAAGTCATATTTCTAGAAAAACGGCATCCTAAAGACGCTGATTTGGCATTTTCAACGGCATGAAGCGTACATTTTGACGAATTAATAGATGCGTTTCTACGACGATGCCTGGTCTGCAAGGTAAAGTAGCCATCAGGTTGGTTATCGCTCTCAGTCAAGCTTTGAGTAGCGTTTTTCATTTTATGACTCTTGTCTTTCTTATGATATGGATAGCTATAATGACTATACTGAAATGAACAGATTTTAGAATGAATAAACGGAGCCTACTTCTGGTCCGTTTTCAGTATTCCCAACTAGAGTAGACTTGACAACAAGATGAGAGCCTGAACAATAAAAAAAGGAGAAAATACTTTTTGACCCGAGATCATGGTGCGTTATAATAATACCATTTTGACGAGAAATATGTTGAGATCCGTATAGTGGAATGTGTTGAGATTCTCCCATTTTGATTATCAGGTCAGCATCTGGAATATATAGGCTTATAACAGGTGCGGGACAGTGGGACTAAGTATACTTTAATGCAGAATGAGTAAGGGAAACGAAACAATTTCATTCACACAGCGGATGCCTCGAAGGTGGCGGGCAGTTAATGACACTTAGCCCCTTTTAAATAATATTCATACTCAAAATTAAAGTTAAATAAATAGTTTAAATGGAGTAGGTAAATTATATCTTGGCTACATAACTGTTCGCTTATATTAGCCGCAATGTCTGCCCGTGCTTCCTCCCGCCTTAGTGAACCTCTTTCTCTTCCTGTCCGTAATTCTTCTATGAATAGAGTGTATGAATACTTGGATAAACACAATTACTGTATTAGTTCTAGTCTTAGTGGTCTGAAGGGCGAAGTAGAGAGTATCGTTGAGTTACATGATCACAGAAGCTTCGTCATTTGCAAATGCAAGAACCCAAAGGAATTATTAAGAAAAAAAATTTTCGAAGCTTCCTTTTGCGAAAACGTAGGACAATTTGTTACCTCACTAAGGTCAAGTTTATCGAGCTTTCATCATTTACTATGCGAATCAATCGTCATGTGCACCGCGGCGAGTCCCATTGATGTTGAAAACATTGATATCCCCGTGATTCATCTATTGGTTGAAAATCTGATGGATGATTTCGATTCTCATAAATCATTCCACTTTATTGGCTCCAATTATCCTGATGAAATATTCTTGGGAACTGAGTCTGAGCAGTTTCTCGATGCAGCAGCCCAGATATTGGGGCAGCTCAGGCGTTCTCTACGGCGTGGTTCCAATTCTAATGGAATTTTGGTGCTCTGCGAATCTGATAGACTAGGGCTTCCTCTCAAAATTTTTACAGACTGTTTAAATGATTCACAAAAGTCTCCATTCGTAGCGTTTTTTCCTATTGTGACTAGTCCTTACTCCGTAGACCATGCTGTAGCTTCCTCATATATTCAAACGATATTTGGTGACTGTGACTTAGATTCAGCTGCCCATTGTTTGGTCAATTCCTCATCTTATTACTCAGGTATAAGCCCTTGGGGATGCCACTTCGCCTTGGTTGAAGAAAGTGCCTTTCCCAAATTCCTACTTCGCCTACAGCGTGCTCTTAACGGAAGGACCTTTAAATGCGATTGGCGCACACAAAAATGGCTCGATGGCCACACAACATACGCTAGTACTTTGGGGTCAAAATGCTTACTTTCCACAGATGGGTTGCCAACGTCTCCACGCTTCTTCTACGATCTTTCCCCCGATTCACCCGCCCTCTCGTATTCAAATCAAATTGCCGGTTTTATGAGTAACTTACTAACCTTCAGAACTGCCAAGGAAGCCCTGATACTAACTAAAAATATCGCCTCAAGGCGGTTCGCCAGCGTTGGATGGGGAGACCTCTCGTGCGTTTTAAATGTGTGGCTTAGCGATGCCAGTCTTGCCTGGCAGATTGGAAAAGCCTTGATGCCCTCTGAAAATTCGAATGTGAAATGTGTTTGTGTTAATGCAAGCCTGGTCAGTGTCATTGCGTCTGTATACCTTCGTCGTTATCCACATGCCAATTTTGTACCTCATCTTCCTGATTATCG